CCCCAAGGCAGCAACCACTGCTGTCAGAGCTCAGCCCAGCACTGCCACACAGCAACAAGTGGGGTTTGCAGCACGGCTCAGCAATTCCCACTGCAAGCTGCTGTATCACATCCCCGGGTTGCTCAGTTCCCTCTTCTGCAGTTAAAATGATACACAAACCTTTTTTATGTTGGTGAGCTTTATTTGGGGAATAAATGAGACGGTAAGAAAATATGAATGATTAGAATAAAAACAGCACTTGTCAGAATTACACAGCCATGAAAAGGAAAATATTTTTAGGCACATTACTGCAGTGTGGGCGGGAGGTCTGGCACAGCGCTGGAAAAATAACTTTCTGTCCCTGAAAAATGTCTTAAACATGAAAGAGAGAAAAATGACAGTGAGTGTGTGTGTGAGATGGCAAAAAACACTCAGCTCCTCCCCAAACAACCCATGATAGATATTTGTTTATGAAGTGGGTTTGTTTTTTTTCCTGAAATGTGATATTTCATCACAACTCATTATGTAAAATGAGGATGCTCTGTTCCTGGAGGTGCTCAAGGCCAGCTGGATGGGGCCCTGGGCAGCCCAGACTACTATTAGATGTGAAGGTCACTGGCCCTGCATGGGGGAGGGGGGTTGGAGATTCCTTGAGGTCCCTTCCAACCCCACGATTCTATGAAAAGGGCACTGTTGAGATAGAAGGAAGAGCTTTGGAAAATGTGCCCATAGATCTGGGGGTACTGCAGCTCTGCTAGGCAGCTGCTGTTCCATGGTTGTTCAGTGGACAGTTTCTCCTTTCCCTTCTCATGCAGTGAGTACAACAATTCTGCCAGTTTTGTTTTTTCAAGTGATTCTTGGGAAATATTGCAGAGGAAAAAAAGGAATAGAGTTACGTAGAAGTTTTTCAATCATAAATAAACACCTGCCTCTGTCTGCAAGATCAGGCCTTGGGTCTGCAGCCTAAGCTTGCACCCATCCTGCAGGGTGCCTTGCAGGCCAGGAGCAGCGGCTGCACTGCAGGCATTGACCTGCTGGGAGTCCAGCAACTGCTGCAGCCAAACCCAGCTGCACTGATCCACCAACCGGTTCTGAAGCAGCAAATGGAGAGCACCAGGGTTAGTGCTTTTCGGGGGATAAAGTCCAGCATTTGAATTTCACATACATCCAACCATTTCCAAGTTTAACTTGATTGTAAAAATAACTTTTATTCGTTCCTCGCCTCTTAAAGAAAAACATTTTCAGCAGGTATTTTAGCATGTGAAACACATAAAAGACCAATATTTCCTAAAAAGTCACTTGCCTCAAAGCTTCAGAAGTGAGGGAGCACTTTAAGCCCAAGCCCCCCAGGGGTCCTTCCCACTGCTGAGCTGCCAGCCTGGCCCTCCCTGTTGTTAACCCCTACAGCTGAATGGCTGAGGTGGGAAAGTCAAAGTGCCACTTTTGGAAACACCAGAGGCAACTTTCCCCAGGCACAGTGTAACCTGGTTGCATTCCTAATGCAACAGAGCATCTCCATACAGAGCACATAAATATAGGTCTGAAATAAATAGCAAGAAATAAATCATCCAGCATAAGGATTTCAAGCTGCCAGAGCTACCCACAGCTCACAGCTTTCAGGGTCCTCAAAAAGCACAGACACCCAACCAGAGCCTATGGGAGGGATCTGCCCCATCCATGCTGGGGAGCAGCACAAGTCCCACAGTGCAGGCAGCACAACGGGTGCATCAAACCTGGGAACGGTGGGAGAGGGAGCAGCACTCCTTGCAGCTCCCAAGGGTGTGCAGAGCCCTGCAGCCCTGCAGCACACCGCCCTCAGCCCAGGGCGCCCTGCCAGAACAGCACACCTGGGCAATGTGGGGAAGTTCCCCTTGACCCACCTGTGCATGCAAAGGGGAGCAGCTGTGATTTACATCTAAAGCAGAGTTTGGGCTGGTCAGTGATGTAATCACAGTGTGCAGTAGCATGCTCTGTGTGCCACTGGGCAATGTGTTTGCACACCCAGCAGCAACCACAGCAAGCAGGCAGACCCAGCTGATCCCAGCCAGCGCAGGGGGACGCAGGCCCAGCTCTCCAGACCAATGCAATGCCTCAAACTGATGTTTCTTTTCTTGCAAACAAATGAATTGCAGTGGGTGATTTACCAGACACTCATGTTTCAGAAGTTACTAATTTGTATCTATGATGCATTTAAGGAAAAGTGTGTCTTCTTTCACGTAGGCGTGCTTTGGGGACTGCAGTTTGGTCAGAGGGAGGAAGGTGGGACAGCCACTGGCAACATTCATGTCGTTCACGGGTCTCTGAAAGGAAGCAGAAGCCAAGTCTGGGCGGAACGCATCAATAATATGTTCTCTGTTGTTTTGGTCGAGCAACATAAACGTAACCTGAAAAGCAGAACGCAGCAATGATGAGTTACTGGCCCGAAAATTCAACAGAAAATGTCGGAGACAAACGTGCAAACACTGTGAAAGCAGCTGGATGCTTTACTGACAATTAAATGCAAGCTATAATGAACATCTCACAGCCTACAAGGTTGATTAATGGGAACAAGGGAGACTGTAACGGTTCCCAGATGAAATATTTAGAACTTTGCCACCCTTGAAATGAAATGAAATGAAATCAAGTCATTATTTCTTGGTAGAGAATTGTACATTGCAAAGACTTTTTCCCTCTCTTCTGACAACTTAAACAAACTCCAGGTTTGGTTCCAGTCATTACATTTATTCTGGTGCTGTGGTTTGGAACCAAAACAGCTCCACTGTCTGTATGCACATATGTAGAAGACAAAACCTATAGAATGACTCCATTTTACCATCACTTTTATTACCCCAAGGTTCCTGAACTTGAAATGTCAAATACAGACAAACTT